AACTGCCAGTACTACATCACCTTAAACAAGATAGTATGAACACAACTAATGTATCTGACTTACTTGTAGTAGCGAAAACCTACTCATTTACCGAAAAAAGTAATATTTTTGATTGTTATAGCAAATATAATTTTGCTTGATCGATAATCCCAACACAGAATATGAAATGTAAAGTGCCTTATATTCCTTAAAATTCACATCTGACCTGTTACCCAACGGCACCCGTGGCAATGTGGCGTAATGGTTAATGTGTCGAGCTAACATGCTGCAGTGTCATGGTTCGACTCCCGCTCGGGGTGTTTCTAAGCCCTATGCGAGATCGAAACTGCAGTCCACCATGAAAGAAGATACCTTGGGGAAAGCGAGGCTATGCGAAATTCATTGGAAAAATTAGCTATACCCATATCATTGTAGTCCTTCATCACCTTAAACGAAATAGGGTGAACATAACTATTATGGGTTTGCCGGCAAATTATCGATAATATTTACATTAATACTCGCGAATACTAGGTTGTGGAAGGCGATATTGCTAAGGAGATATGCTTAGAAAAAGTTGAGAACTGTTAGTTATCTTCACGAAAATCTGGACAGTGTGTAACTTTAACTGGGAGAGCTTAATCGCTCACTATACCCTGTTAAAACAAGCTATGTAACTAGTTGGCCAGGGTCGATAGCGAATTATTTGCATTAGCACATTACAAATTAGTCAGTATTGTCTTGTTATCTGACTATAATATTGTGTTCATGGTTTATTTGTAGTTCATCTTAGCCATATATAATACATATTTAGGCCCCTCTAGCCTTTCTAATTATCATAACAGTCTCACATGTCAGAGATGAATCCACATTACTATTAGGGGTGATTAAACAAGAAAATAGTGCGGTGAAGAATGTTGCTAATGCATAAACAATGTCATATTATGCGATAACTCTTAAGTATTATTTTCTTTTAATAAAAAAGGTCAAAGCAAATCGGCTTAAAAAATTAAGGGAGAAATAAGAAACCGTAGGGCTCGAGATTTGTAATTAGGCCCTTATATACAATTATAACGGAGACGATGACCAATTTATCTACAGAGAAAACTGGTCCTATCAGACCTATAAGTAAATAACTTTGCTCCGAGCAAAGGGCATCGCAAAACTGGTGCCTTGGTGATACAGTTTAATTTATTAAAATGGAAGATTTTCTGTCAATAACTGGAATGTACGGCTGTCTTTTGGGAGCAAAATCTGTTCAGTTGAATACAGCTCACCGTGATATGAAGTTTTCTCGTAGCAGTCAGTCTTCGAGTGCAAACCTCTCCCTTGACAAGGATTCGTCCATTCTGCAGGAGACATGGCCAAATATGATGATTCACGAGCATGATTGGGTAGTCTGAGTCAAAGCTACGCCGATATCTTTGTTTAATAAAGGTGAGAAAAATCGGAAAAGCGACAATTATTAGCTTGAGTAGTGAAGAGGACAGCTGTGAACTGGGGAAACATGGTAAACATAGCTTAATAAGTCTCAGACTGCTGCTCAGATATTGACGTAGACTAGATATATTGAAAAAACTCAATGATATGGTGAAACCGTAAGATACAACCGGAAATCTAGGTTCTATAAATAAACAATATACTGTCATGACGTAGGTGTTATAAAGGCCAAATTTGTGCCTCATGGAAGTGGGCGCTAAAGACTGATTTATATATACACATGATTAACTAATTAAATTAATTATAGTTGCATATATATATATATATATCGTTAAAAATAATAATTATAACACAATGATTATCTATAATATATACTAAAAAGCCCATTTTAAACAGGCCAAATAGAGGTCATGAAGATTAAATGGTATGGCCTTTAGTATGGTGGCGGCCAGATAGAGTTGCGATACACAAAATTGGCTCATGTGAGCTTACTGAATGAGAATTTCTTGCCTTGCATATCAAATAGAGATATTTACTTGGTCTCATCTATCAACTCGTTGTCTGTTGCTGGCCGATAGACGTCGATTGGTTGAGCTAGGGAGCAGCATTCCCAAGCAAGTAGGCATACCTCGCGTATGAACGCGCTCACAGCTCCGTAGCCGAGAGGTCCTGAGGGCCGTTTTAGTTTGGAATGTTGGCGCTCCAGGGCCCAAGTTACTTCACGTGAAAGCCCGGCCAAGTCAATCGCGTGGGAAGCGTGCACGTTTACATGCGATTGAACAGCCTCCTCTAGAGTTTCATCAGAAGGTGCTCGGGGTGGCGGCCTGGAAGCAAACTGCGCGCGAATACGGTTTCGGTAGGCACGGAAGGATGTTTTTGCTGCAGAAAAGGCCTCCTGGAGATTAATCAAATTTTCGTAAGAAGAAAAAATATGGAAATTTTCGAAACATTTAAGTACAGTTATCACGTTTTAGGATTTGTAAAGCCCGATAAATTCCTAATTTTCTTCAGGCTATCCCTGAGTCAAAAGTAAGGCGACTAGTAAAGTCAGATAGCTGTAATTTTTTAAGGCTTGAGAGTTTAACTATACTGTAAAAATGCATTTAGTGAAAACTCTTTCAGCATTTAAGTCATCCTGAGAGAATAATTACCCAGTCTTTAGTGTTCCGAAATAAAATTATCCTCTTAATGCTAAAACTAAGACGCAGAATCATCTTGGCTGGTTAAAAAGGCAGAAATATGGCAGAAAAGTCAAAATTGAACGACTTTTAAGCAATATAATTGTGAAAAATTCAACCATCAGACATTAACTACTTTATGAAACTATAATGACCACAGCTTTTATCCAAGATCTATTGATAGGACCGAAACGTACTCGTTGCGAATATAGGTAACATGCAATATTGTAATGGCAAAGCGCTAAGAACTGAATTCATCCTTTGTCTCTTTGATGAGCTGTAGCTCGATGCCTTGAATGGATAGACTCTCTGACGATGCCTGTAAAACTTATAAGAATGTATCGAGTCCGCGGTCCAACGGTGAGAATTTCCACAATATTAACAGCTCGTAAGTCACTCTAAGATAACTAGCATGATTACGTTTTTATTTAAGAATTAATGATAGTTCCTAAGAATAATTACATTGTAAATAAATAAAATGTAACCACGGCGTCTAACTCAATGACTCCACTTGCGGTTGTGAGTTAAAAAAATGACTTTAACTAAATTATTCTTAATCTGGTTTAAATCCAAATAAAATTTATCCTACAAGAGTAAGATACAAACGATTGTTTCATGTACTGGTCGAGGTTATATCGTTTTTATATCATAATCAGTCAACACAGCGACCATACAAAAGGCGACACCATCCTTGTCTTTATATATTCAATAAAAAGTAATGCATGATGTGACCAATATCGACTTTTGGATATATTTTTCCATTTCGTATATACTCATTTGATATCTCTAGCAGCATGATAAAATTCTGATTTATAATTGAATCACCACCATGAACCTTCATTTTGAAGTAACTTTTAATTTCATCGGCTCTGTGATCCATCTTGTTATAGCATTAAATTCTGAACAGACCTATACACCTTTTAAATATAAATTTCAAAGCATGTATTTACTAGTTTCTTTTATATAAGTCACTCCCATTTTATTGTTATTAGAAATGCCCCACTTAAGTTTCCTAATGATTGTATGCATCAACCGACTCTTTCTAAAAGTGAAATAAGGCCTCAATTGTACTAGTATTTCCACTTAGTTAATATCAAGTAATCTATGTAAATGCTTTCTTAATGGGAACTCATAGATAGCAATGGAATGCCTATAATCTCGCTTCATATGGAAAATCGGAAAAATATAACTATTATATCTTCGAAATCATCTAGGATTTGTTTTGTCTATTATACTCTCCATCAAGGAGACAATGAAGCTTCCGTCCCATAATTCTTTGTCAAACTATTAGGCTGAACTTTTAGGGCTGCTCGATTGTCCTTTTGGGCTCTTGAGTTGCTCATATGCTATTTTGTCCTTCTACAAAAGTGCCTTTTATGATAAAAGACAAAAAGGACATTTGTTACAACATGAAACTTCCAACTAAACACGTTATCGCATAATAAGCACGACTAGACAATGCTACGGCTAAAGGTGCATAGTGGGAGCATATCTGGCTCTCCCTAGTAAACATTCCTCCTATAATAGTAGGCCAAATAAGTTCTTTACCAACATAGTCGTCCACGTGATTTGCTTTAGGGGCCCGAGTCAGCGACATTAAAAGCTTTGCTATTCCTTAAGTTATTAGCACCCTCCCTTTGCGTAACCCATAGTACAGGAGTTTGTTTGTCGGCTCCCATATAGCTCTATTTAGCCAAAGCTTTCATTAACATTCT